TATATGTATCTACTTTAGAAGTTAAAAGTTGTTAATCTTTTTATGTCTTCATTGTTTGTTTCAGGGTAGTGAATCAGTATCAGGAGTTAGTACAAAGTGAAGCTAAATGTCCTGTGAAAATATTTCATAATTCAAGTGGATCAGTCAATCTTAGTCATCTTTCTCCAGGGAAGGAAATGGAAGTGAGTTTATTAAGCCACACATTTTTTTATTTGCCTTTGATTATTGAATTGTTAGAATTTCAGAGATTGCTTTGTTTGTTTCAAAGAATATTTTGAGTTGGAAGGGACCCACAAGGATCATCAGCTGTTAGGTGAGTGGCCCATACAGGGATCAAACCCGTGACGTTGGCGTTATTAGCATGTGCTCTAACCAACTGAGCTAATCTCAGGGTTCTCTTTGCTATCGACGTTTAAAAGTAAAATAACCTAAAAATGTCATCGCGAACGAATTTTTAAATGTGTTGTGGTCACGATCATCCATTGGAAAAGTTAAAGGAAAGCATTTATGTTTTCAGTGTTCAAATGCTGTCTTCTAGACGTTTTGGGGGTTTTTTGGCTGTGTATAGTGTAGTTAGCTCCAAGGTTTTGTTTTAGCATTTTCCCCTGTTCAGATGAACTTTTCACAGAACAGTATAGTAAAATGCAGCTATGTGTTTTATTTTGCAGGTCAGTAAACACAGAAGGAGATGGAGTAGCTAAACTTCTTTTACCTGTAGAAATTAAAATTATTTTCTCTTTACTTTGAAGAGGAAAACGTAAAACAAAACAAGAAAAAAAAACAAAAAAAAACCCAAAACAAAAACTAGCAAACAAAAAACCCCCAAGAACTTTAAAATGTGTATATTTGCATGCACACACATTTCTACCTTTCCAGTATAAATTCTTGCATTCCCAAATTTTCCTGCCTGTTGGCATTGCCTTGTTTTACATTCTGCTTCTGGCTTTGTTGGTCAGATTCAGTACTTTAGCAGTGAGCTGTATTTAGGCTTCAAGTAGTAAATGAGAGTTGTATCTGTTGGGCTATTTCCTTAGTGACATCCTCCCCTAAACACCTAGTTTTAAACTCCTACAACATTGCTGTGAAAGAGGTAGTTCTTGGTGTCAGCCAGACCAGCAGCATTCCAAGGCCAGCAGTTGCAGAAAGGGATATGAATGTTTATGTGTATACACATACAGGCATGTACATGCACATGCACATTATATGCATTAAAATCATATAATAACTTGGGGTGGGAGGGTACTTTCAGAAGTCATCTTGTCTGCCTGTACAAGCCCCCACCAAAATCTGGACCAAAATTACTCAGGTTTACTGTATTCAATGATCTTGTTACCTTTGAAATGGGGCATTAGTCTTTATTTTCAAAACCAAGAAAGCAGATTTTAGTAGAAGAAGAGAAAAGTAGTCCTTAAAATTTTCCTCATAAGATTCTTTTTTATAAGCAAGCAATTAGAAACACATAGAGGGGACTCTCATTACTGAGAATCAGTGGAAGCTAAGCTTACCAGAAAGGGTGATTCTGCACAATGCAGAATGATCTGATTTCTTAACCCATGCACATCTAATTTAGGCTCCAGCATTGAAATATTCCCTTCACCATGTCAACAGCCTAGTTTCAGCAGTTTGTAGGCCTTATGTTTGTTTAGACATTACTTTCATTTATGGAAAAATGCACATAGGTAAAAATTTTATAGGTAAAAATGTATAGGTAAAAATACATAGACTATATATAACTGTAAATATGTTTCATTCTTGAGTCTTTTGACAGTGTCAGCTATTGGAATTATGGATTTTGGTCTGTTGTGAGTGACTGCAAACTACCGACTCAAGTAGCTGAAGTTAATTTATGTTCAGATAGCCTGATAAGTAGATTTTAAGAACAAATAAAAAGGGAACATTTTCCCTCTAAAAACATTAATGAAGTTTTGATCCCACTGAAGCCAGTGGGGAAACGTGTCTTGATTTCTGTGCATTCAGGATTTTGCTGAATGTGTTTAAAATCCTACTGCTAGAATCAGGAATTCTGATCCCTTTCTTTAAATTTATCTTGGTTGGAAATGGCAGGTATATACAGAGAGAATGAATGAAATTATGCAGTTTTTCAAGTAAAACCAAAGTATTCATTTACTTCAAGTGCATTTGTCGCTCTTGCATTTGTGAAAATTACTAAGAAGGATTTCAGAATTATGGATAAAAGTGAAACTCCTTAATTACTTTAATTTGCTCAGTTTAAATTTTTGCCAGCACTTTCATGCTGCTTCTTGATCGTAAACACTTTAGATAAAGGGAGTTGGTCATAGGTTATGTTTTTTAAATAAATACATAAAAATCTGAAATGTATGACGGGAATTTTGTCATAGTTTTGAGGTATCTTAATACACATTAATTGAATTGTCTTTTCTGCCAACTGTGTGGAAGCTCACATCATTGCTGTGGTAGTGTTAATTTCTCTTTCCTCCCAGCAGCCAGAAAGCATATCAGGTTCTGTTCAGTCTTCAGTGCTGGGGAAAGGTGTAAAACACCGACCTCCTCCTATCAAATTACCTTCAAGTTCAGGAAGTAGTTCTTCAGGTAATTATTTATTGACTCAAGCCTCTCTTTTTTACATGTTCTACCTGTTGTAAAATTACAGGATATCCCTTTAGTAAAGATTTAATAAAAAAATACCAGTGTCTTATCTGTGAGAAGAGCATATTTTTTTTGATTTCTGATTATATTGGTTACAAAATTGTACCCTAACAAATATTTGAGTTAATCTGTACTCACAGAACAACAATATGTTTTAATTATGCTTTTTCAGGTAATATTTTTAGTTCACAACAGTCAAGTGGCCATCTAAAATCCCCAACTCCTCCTCCTCCTTCTAAGCCTCCTGGTCTTTCTCGGAAACAATCTATGGATCTTAATCAAGTTAACATGCTCTCTCCAGCTGCCATGTCTCCTGCGAGCTCTTCACAAAGTGAGTCACGACCTAAATTCTCCATTAAATCTTAGGCTTTTGTATAAATGCTTCCTGAGATAAACTTCTTAACCTGTGGAATGATGAAACTTAAGTGTACAGTGTACCCTAAATTGTATAAGTTGTGCAGCTTTAGGCAGGTCTCTTGTTCACTGTATGTAATTTCTGTTTATTGTAACTGTGTTTGTTTTCTGTATATATATATGTATGCACCCTCTGTGTATACGTTTTAATACATTTTATGCAATTAGTGTGATCTCCTCATATATGAAAGGCTGGTAGATGATGTGATGAGATAAAATTCCAAAGTGTAGATTTTTTTCCTCCAATGTAAAAGCAGTATGTTAGATCAGTTTGCCTTTACATAATTTAAGCATCTAGTTTATTAAATGTTATAGGAGCTGGTGCAGTTGTGTATCTATGTATGTATATAATCTGATCAGTCCCAAGGTGATAATACAATAAACGATAAGATGATTTTTTAAAAACACTCCTACACTGTTTTACAAATCATTGCTGATTACAAGTGTGGTGGTGATGCTGATGATAATAGCACCATATCCTGAGGTGTTAAAATGCAAATTTCAATCAAAAGTGATGTCCCAGTTTAAGTATTTTCATTAACATTGTCAGGTTCATTGTAATCATAGCTATAGATCATAAAAAAATTTTAAAATACGTATGCGTCTTGAGCCATTTCATGAACAGATTTATACAAAGAGGAAACCATATCTGCAGTTTCTCAGTTTTCTTACGAATAATTGTACACTGCACATTTCAGTATCCTGCACAGTATTATAATATGCTTTTTGCATTAAATAATTTTAAAACTGGGTAGCTCAAAAGGTGTAACTTTTTGTTTTGCACAAAGAAAAAAAAAAGAAAACTTATAAAAAGTTTTCTTCTAATATATTGACTCTGGTTTTATGTTAGTGCTATGAATTGCGTAAATCTGCTGCACACAGTTGTTACGTTAAGGCTCTGGTCACCATTCACATTTATTTCCTTTCTTTCTGCAGGACATGAAAGCTTAAAAAAAAAAAAGAAAACAAAAAAAACCAGCTCAAGCTTTTGGGGGGTTATGTTTTTCTAATGATAAACTTTGGCTACTGCATCCACAAGAAATACAGCTGTACATGCTACATTCAAGCAGAAGGAATTACACAGTAGCTTTTAAAGATGCAGTATTATCCTCTGGTTCTTAAATAATTGCTTTTTAGTTGGTCCATATTTGGCAAATGGCAGTTTAACTATCTGATGAAATTTAGATCAGCCCCATGATGATGGAAATAGTACATGTTCTTTGTTGGCTCTGTCATTTTCCATATGTTTTTAACACTATGCTATTGTGCAGACAGTGCATATATAGTATTTATTTAACAGTCTAGGACAAAAACATTAATTAGGTTAAAGTGGCACTAAGAACTTGTAAGTATTCCTGAATGGAGTTATGACTTAATGTACGATAAATTATGGAAGCCTTAAAGGAGGATACAAATCAGTGTATGCCATAAGGAATGAAGCATGGAGAACGGGTTTTCTTTGTGATTATACTGCATCCTTAACAATGAGTGCGTGATGCAACACTCGTGCCGTGTAGAACACTTGCAGTCTAAAAAACAGAACAAATTGTCACTGCTAAGTATTCCGTTAACCATATTATACAAAAAGGATTGGCCTTTTATAACAAACTAGCACTTTTTATTTTTCTCAATGAGCAGGGTCTGGAACTCCTAAACCATCTACTCCTACTCCAACCAACACCCCTTCATCGACCCCACACCCTCCTGATGCTCAGAGCTCAACTCCTATTACCCCTTCTGCCACCCCTACTCCCCAAGATTCAGGCTTCACCCCTCAGCCCACTTTGTTAACCCCGTTTGCTCAGCAGCAAATGTCTCTGAGCCAGGCACTGCCTGTAATGACCATTCCTCTTTCCACCATGGTAACATCCATTACTACAGGAACAGCCTCCACCCAGGTCATGGCAAACCCTGCAGGACTTAACTTCATCAATGTAGTGGGCTCTGTGTGGTAAGTCTTTTATTATGATGGTTTCTTAATTTGCCGTGGGTTAGTTGGTGGGAGGGGGAGAGTAGTCCAGGACTGTCCACCATCCATTAGGGTAGATATATTTCAGGATCTGCAATACAAGAAGTTCACTCACTTTTTTTAATTATAAAGTGAAGAGCCACTAGAAACTATTTTTATTTCTCAAATAGAAGGCACTTACTATTGGAATATTGAAAAGATCTATTAAGAAAGACATTTATTATGTTAATCTTTTTGGAGTCATATTTCTTAAGGCTTAATCTCGGTTGATTTCTGAGGTTTTGCTCAGAGGTTTTGAAAGCTTTTATTAATCAGAGAGGAGGTAGAATACCATATGCAGACCAATTTAAATGAAAAATGGAAACAGATTTGTTTTGATCAATTTAAACAAACATTGAGGTTAAACGTTCTTCAGGCCTTAAAACTCACTTTGTGGTTTAAAGAAAATAATAAATGCTGTCAAGAATATTTTGTGTGGTATAACATGAACTGCTTTTTAGACTAAATGAAATTCTGCAATTAAGATAGTCAGTGTAAGACACATAGTGTACGCCAGTGCAAGTATCAGACACTTGAATTATTCATCTAAGGTGTTTAGCAGTTGATCACTGTTGATAAATTGGGGATATTTTCTATAGGGCAAAAAGAAAATGCAGACCTGTTCCTTTTATGGTAGTACAACCATTTTGAAGACTGTTGATCTTTTAGTATTTCTAGAATAAAAGAACCGCTTGTGGTTTACTTTCTTTAGCTGATACCATAGAATTAAAAAACCTGTATATGCTGAGAATATGTTATGCTCTAGGCAAAACAATTTTTTTTTAAACTGCATTGATGCTTTATCCATAATCCCATTCACAACAAACAATTGATTTACTTGCCATGAGACAGAGGGAAAAAATGTAGTTACTCAGATTCACTCGTGCCACTTGGGTTTCATGTGTTGTCTTTCCTCTTCTGCAGTGGAGCACAGTCACTGATGAGTGGTTCAAACCCTATGCTGGGGTGCAACACTGGTGCCATTGCCCCTGCGGGTATAAATCTGAGTGGCATTTTACCATCAGGAGGTCTGGTACCAAGTGCGCTGCCCGCTGCAATGCAGTCTGCCTCTCAAGCAGGTCAGTGTGACTCAGTTGAAAAGCCACCCTTCAGACAGGGACAATGTGGGAACGTTTTGTGAGAAAGATGGACAAAAGTGACCATTGTGGGAATAGACTGTGGATTTGATGGCTGGAGCTCAGGAATAACGTATGTGTTTTTGCATTCAAAGTATAGACTGTGTTGGAGATTATTTGAAGTTGATTTTTGGTGAGCTAGACTGGGGGATACACACTCGAAACCCGGATTGTTCGGTATGCTCAGTAGGAAATTTGAGAGAAACTCCAAATTCAAATGCAACTTTGATAATGATGACTGCCAGAAAAAGGACATGACTGAACCTAGAAAGAGGCCTCACTTTTTAAATGTGTGAGGCATTTTATTCTGTCCCTGGTACTACTTTCTTCTAGTACAACAATTAAATAATTCCTTATTGCCTTCAAATGTGACTGTATAAATATTAAAAGCCCAATTTTAATTCTAAGTTTATTTTTTCTGAACATATAATAAAGAAAAAAACCCTAATGTATGATTACAGAATGAGAATGATAGGAGACTTCAAGATATCCATCCCTTATGCTAAGACGGTCATATCTGTCTAAACCATGTGGAACCAATGTTTATCTAAATTGTCTTTACCTTCACTAAAGAAGATTCCAGTCTTCCTCAGTAGCTGTTTGGAGTAGTTTATTATCCGTGTAAATTGTTTCCTTTTAATTACAGTGCATCTCCTTAATTGCAAATTATTTTTTTTCTCCTATACCTTTCAGGCATGTAAAATGATCGTTCACCCTTTCTCTTTACCTTCTAAATATCAAACATGCTGTCATGTCCCACATTTGTCTTCTCTTTCTGATAGGTCGTATTTTTCAAACCTTTCATAATCCTGTCACTCTCTTCTAGACTGTCCAATTTGCTTACATCCTTCTTAAAATGTGATAACCAAAACTGGACACAAGCCTGAGCTTGGCTGATTTACCACTGTGGAGCACAGCAGAATAAATGCATCTCATCTCTTTTACAACATTCCTGTTAACATTTCCCCAAATGAGGTCTGCCTGTTTTTTATCTGTATTTTTTTGCAACAGCATTACATTAACATAAGAATGACTTTACTGGTTTAGGCCAAAAATCCATCCAGTTTATATTCTGTCTCTGACAGTTGCCATTAGAGGATACTGAGGAAAGAGTTTAAGATGAGGCAAAAGTGTGAAGTAAAACATCCCTTCTCTACAACTGTACCTCTTCTGGCAATCTACAGCTTTGAGACTTTCTAAGCTGAAGAATATCCACATGGATCTTTGTGCTTAATATCCCATGCTAGATTTCTAGTCTGTGGATTTATCTAATTGGTTTCTGAACCCATTTATATTTCTGGAACCTACAGCATCTTGTGACAGTGAATTTTATAAATGTAAACTCTCTGAAGAGGTTCTTTTCTTTTGTGTGCTCTGTAGTTTGTGATATGGATGATTTGGATATGTTTGTGACTTACTGTAACTTCTCATGTCCTTTCTTGCTGTGTAGACACAAAGCTAGTTACAAGTTTGTACTTGTTCATTTGTCTTTTTTAAATTCAGTGTTATTGAATTTTGGACCATTTGTTCAATTCACTAGGATCACTTTTAGTCTAACTCTGCCCTTTCAAGCACTACCAGCCTTTACCACTTTGGTGTCACAGATTTTTCCATGCTGTGCTGTCGCCCACACAACAGATGGGAGTAGTGAACTGAGATGGGTCTGTGTGAGACCTCCAGGGGTTCTGCTTGATAGCTGCTGGCTTACTGGAGAGCTGCTCAGATTTTGTGTGGGATTGTTTTCTGTTAAAGATTGATAAACTGAGAGTGTCTTACTTCATTGAGACCATGGAGTTTTTTACATTTACTGCACAAACAGTAAAAGTTTTTAAAGGCAGAATAAGAATCACTGAAGAGTAACTGCTAGGGTTCTCCATTCACCTTTGTGTAAATGCATTAGCAAGTTATAGGTTACAAGGTGCAGTGTTTAGTAGCAATATAGCTCTCTTGTACTTTGAGTCTGAATAACTATGAATTTTACATTATGGAAAATGCAGCATTGTATTAAGTATAAAATTTACACTTGCCAGTTTTCCAACTTCTAAATGTTTAGAAATAGTCCCAGTGGAAAGGTATATTGCAATTCACAAATATAACTGAGTAAAGCCTCCCTACTAATGAAAAGATGTTCTCTTTAACAGGCAGCCCCTTTGGTTTGAAAAATACATCAAATCTTCGGCCCTTAAATCTTCTACAGGTAATTGATATACTTGGACACAATAAGAATGATAATTTCTTATTTTTCTATAGAGACCTGTTTACTGCACTGCCCCACACAGATCTTTGGAGCCAGTTGGTCAGACCATTTACTGTAAATTTAAATTGCTTATTTAAAATGCTTAGAATAAGTGAAAAAGCTACATCCATAGATACCAGGTGGAAATTATATTCCTAGCTCAGAACAAAGCAGTTAATTTTCAGTAACGATCTAAAAATGCTGACATTTGGATTCAAAAGATTAATGCTAAAATACGATGTTCTATTTTCAGGATTTGCCTAAGCTCTTATTGCAAATCATTCTCTATACTTAAATTATGATTATACTGTACAAAACAGTACAGTAGAATCACTCTGGGGTTACACATAGAATGCCTAAAAGCTGAGCTCAGCATGCCCAGGTAAGTACAGTAATAGGTTTAAAAAGCTTCTGGTAATGGAAATAGAAGCTCCTGTGGGATAGGGAGTTTAGAATGTCTGTAAATGCTTTCTTTCCACTAAGCATACATACAAATATAAACATGAGCAGAATATTGCTTATTATGTCAGAGTTGCATTTAAAAGCAGAACAGGGACTGTTTGTAGAACTGGCTGGCGTTCCCGGATCTTGAAGTCAGCTGCCAGTTACAGGTGCAGAATTGCAGCTATGGTGTTCCATGTGTGTTGCACCATGCTTCAAAAAATTATTACCAGTGAAAGAACAGCTGTAGCTTTGCCACTTCCTTCTCCCACTCCTGTAACATACTCCAGAAACGTGGAAGAGGGAGGCACAGGAGGCAATTATGCCAGAGTAGAGCTCTTCTATAGATCTAAATGCTTGTATCTGTGTGATTCCACATTGAAGTACATCCTTTCAAGCTAGCTCTGCCACCCATATACACCAAGAATATTTGGCTGAAATCAGTGCAATTAAAGCTGGGGTAAGGGAATCAAGGCCATCTCACTATCTATTAAAATCCAGTGGAATGTTCTGAAAGTGGAAACAATATGCAGGGCTTTTGAAGGCTAACATTTACATTTTCAGTATCAGTGCAATACTGTTTTAAATAGAATAATTAAAATATATTTTTCTGTGGACATATCTCACTATAATTGCACACAGGTTTGTTTTCAGAACATAAGACTTTTTCACAAACAGCAGCAATTGTAAACTTATTGATTTTAAAGGAATTAAAAAACAAAAAAAAACAAACAGGTTTGTTTTCAGAACATAAGACTTTTTCACAAACAGCAGCAATTGTAAACTTATTGATTTTAAAGGAATTAAAAAACAACAAAAAAACAAACCTCTAGGGAGTATGTAATTATCAATATTATGTTCATCCTAGAACAGTGGGAAACGCAGCAGTTTGAATTATGCCTTTTGTTTTTAATCTTCAGCAGCTTACAGGTGGTTCACTTATTTTTAACCCACTCCAGCAGCAGCTATCACAGTTTTCTCCACAGCAACAATCTCAGCAGCCCACAACCTGTAGTCCTCAGCAACAGGGAGAACCTCCCTCAGTCTGGGGTGCATGGATGAAACTGTTTCTCCTATTCTCCCCATCTTCACAAGTAAATGAGCCTTTACCCAACAGATCTGTAGCAGAGGGGGAGGAAAGTCTTCCTCCTAAATCTTCTCAAACAGCAAAGACTGCAGTGGCTCTGTTGCTAGCTGGGTTATACTCCTTTATTTGTATTCTATATAGAAGAGCTGTAACGAAACAACTGGCTGAGCATTGTCTAACTCTTATCATGAAGAGAGCCAGCCTACTGTATGAGTGGTGTAAAATCAGCTTAGTGTTAATGTTTGTCATAACTAGCAGATACATCAGGTGAACAGAGAAAAAAACGCTGTCAGGATTTTTGCAGAGTTAACTAAAACTTCCTACTTACACTGCTGTGAGTTGGCTTACAATCCTCACTGCTGTAGTTCAACAGAATTTTCTTTGCACCAAAGGAAGTATCAGTTGGCTTTAATGCTGTAATCTTAAGGCATTTGCTCTACTGCTGCTTGTAATTGGTGTTAAAGGCTTTAAGCATTGAAAACGTCTAAAGTCTTGTTCTCGAGACCTGTTATCAAAATGACAAATTTTGAGTGGTTAGTTCTACCTGCACTAAAAAATCTTTACCAACACTGATGCAGCAGTTTGGGAAAACTAGCTGCTCTGCTTTTGTGTTCGTCTTCCCAGACATGCAAGACTTCTGCTTACCAAATAGTCTCTACTGGATACTGAAGTTTGTCATAATAATTTCACTTGTGTTCCTGTAGACTGTTCATAAACAAGATGCCTGTCTCAGATGTTTTATGGTGTATAGTGCTTAGTGGAAACAAACTAAGCCCAAAAAGACCAACAATTTTCTTGGCTACCAACAGAATATATGTATTCTCATGTCATTCTTAGGGTTTTCCTCACATGGTGGTTCTATGATTCTATAAGTCTTAGTCATCACTGAGGTGATGATGTCTTCTTAATGTGCAATCTTTTGGTCTGTTTTATTTAGATCTTAGTGGCATTATATCATATGGTTATGCTAAAGAAGCATCACAAATCCTGGAATGCACCAGCTCTCTATCTGACTGATAGGCCATGCAGCTTGCTTGGATTGTGAATATAATGCTTTATTTCCCTATGTTATAAATCAATGCATAATTTAAGTTCTAGAAGAGGTCATTATTCAGCACCCTTTGACTTCAGGAGATACTGTCAGACTCCACTTACTCCATTTGAGTGATTACTTGAGAACTACTCTGTTCTGAAAATATAATTTTAAAAGCAGGATTTGTATTTTTTATGAAATTAAGGTGTGTGTGGCACAATATGAGCATGGGAAAGTAAAGTGTCGGGCTTTGCACACTTTGATTGATTAGGACCTTTGCACATGGATGGTTTCAGGGTCACCTGAACACTCTGGGGCTGGGAGTAGGATAGGAAATAGTCCTAAGATTACAACCATAAAGTGCAGTCTCTGCTAGACTGCAGGGAAGGAAGTTGACAACTACATGGGACTTCTGCAGGGTAACAGGTGCAGTACCATTTCTGCCAAAAAAAGCTGTTTGGGGGCAATCAGCATCTGTTCTACTTGTAGTGACTGCTACATCTACATGCACTGGATGACATAGCATTAAATGTTTTTAAATGGCACTTCAAAAGTTTGCCTTCACGCTGGCTTTGTTTGCTTATTCATTGATACCAAAGTTTGGTAATAAGGATCAAGCTTTTCATTTTTGCTAGGGGTCTGACCAAGGTCCATCCAATCAAGATCAGGCATTATCTGCCCAACAAGCTGCTGTAATTAACCTGACTGGAGTAGGGAATTTTATGCAACCTCAAGCCACAGGTATGTGCTTGCTGAGCCTCCTTTTGTAGTTAAATGTGTATATTGATAAATTCACACTGAAATGAAGTTTGGTCTTAAAGAAGTCATGTGTTAGATCAGAACAATTTAATGATTATCAGCATGTGAATTACACAAGAAATACTGGATTTTTAACGCATGCGCTTCTCTATTTTATTCGGCAGTTAAGTGCAGTCAATTGATTGTATCACATGAAAATAAGCTACACTTAATACAAAAAGAAAATGCAGGGAACTTCCATGCCAGACTTCATTGAGGAATAATTCTTTAACTCTGTGCTTAACATCCACTGTGAGAAACCTCTTTGTGCCTCCACAAGCACTTCATAATCTAACTGTGTTCTAACAGAGTATGTATAGCATGTATACCTTATTCTGCACTGTTTCCAGTTTGACTCTAAAACTAATTCTATGGATCCCCCTTTCCTGTATTCCTGTGTTACACTGTATTCCTATGTCTTCCTTCCCCAACCCTGACAAACTCAACCTGACCTCTTTGACCTGCCTGCTTTCCCGTTCTCCTTTCTCAGTGTTGTCTCAGCTTGGCTCTGCCATGAACAGACCTGGGCAAAGCCTTCCTCAGCAGAGACTCCAGCTCTCTTCTGGCTTGCAACAGCAACAACAAGCCTTGCAGCAGCAGCAGCAACAGATACAAGTAATCCAGCAACTTCACTCTGTGTTTAAAAAAACAAACAAACCAAAAAACTAAAAATACAATTCTTGGCTCCAAAATCAAAAATCTTGCCCTTTTGACTTCTTTAACTAATGTCACTATGGTCTCACAAATTACAAAAAACAAACGTGAATTTGGCAAACCATCATGCAAGATTTATAATCTGTGGTTATCTCAGCTTGGAGCACTGAATTTATTTTTATTCATTTAAGCCATCCACCTTCCTGATACGAAAACATTCAAGGGGTGCTTGTGGCACATATCTAAATCAGCTCTGCCAGATGCCAATAGATTTTAAAATGGCATGAATGTAAGCACCTGCAAGTTCAAATGCAGCACTGCTACAATCAGCATGTGGAAGCAACAGCTCTACGAAGCATTCCTTTTGCCATTCTGTCATCCAGATGCTTTATGAAAATATTTTAATATTTTTTCAGCACACAGTCCACTCTTTGTAATATATACAGAAAATACATACGATGCATACACTGAGAAGGTAATATGTTAAAAATGTACTATGTGACCTAAATATTCACAGAAGTTGCTGAGTTACTGAAGTTACTGCCATGGAGAGAAAGGGCAAAGAAACAAGGCTGGGCACATACACATATAAAATGTTAGCTGTGCCCTCAGCAGGTTTCTGTGCCACTGGTGCTGCTTGACTGTACCCACTGCCCCAGTACATGGTGTATTCCTTTGGTCAACCTGGTGCTTCCTCATTTTTCTGCCTTCCCCTCTCCCCCCCACCTTCCTCTCATTCTTCCTGACATGAAAGCTTTATAGTCAACACTAACAAGCTTTTTCTCCTCCTCCTTCATGGCAGCAGTTGCGATTCTTGCAGCATCAAATGGCTATGGCAACGGCAGCAGCACAAGCAGCTCACCTGCATCATCAACAGCATTCAGGCAGCCACTCAAAAAGTAAAAGGAAAAGAGGCACACCAGCCCCTCCAAAATCATGAGACTTGCCTCCTCCCCAAAAAATTGGTTCAAAGGGGATTTTTTTCAGATTAATAAGGAGAAAGCTTAAAGTTAAATCAGTGGTTTTTATTACTGGTGGGAAAATTAACTTTTGACATTACACTAAAAAAATGAACTGATTTTGGAAGCCAGCCCTACAGAACCTAGAAATTTCATCTATAAAGCAGCCAGGATCTGGTTTCCTTAAGTCAATTTTTTAACAGAATGTTTTATCTTGTATTTTTTACCACTCAACAGCTCTGTACATAGGGTGAAAAACATTTTAGAAAAAATGAACTTTGTAAAGGTAGTGTTGGTATTTGTTTATTTAGTATAAAAGGTTTGTGAACACTGTAACAAATACAATTTTTACAAATCCATTTTTGAAAAGCTCTCTCCTTTTGTTCACTTGGGCATTATACTTTTTATTACTTTGTCTATCAGCCTATTTACTTCTTTGTGTCTTGTAATTGCTCTGGTGATACAGTCCTGAAGCTTGGCTCCTGTAAGAAGACTTCCACCTAAAAATTAAAGGGAACAATTTGATTTTCTACTTATACTTCAGTTATGTATCTCTAAATGTGATTTCCAAATAAGAGTATTAATACAGTAATTCTCATGAGCAACACCTTTCATAGGGAGCATGCAGCTTTCCCAGCTCTAGCCTCGGGCAAACATAACGGAAACAAACTAGAGCTGTAACAGGAGACATGCTCAATATCTGTCCTCTGCTGTATGTAGGTCAAGCTGTGACTTCTTTTTGAACTTCAGTCATGCCACCATCCTAAAAACTATTTTCAAGAGCAAGTAATTTAATGAGTACTTGAACAGGCACTCCATTACTATAAAGCACCCAAATCTTACAAAACAAAGCAGATACATAGTCTTTTCTTGACCTAAACATTATCATCTCCATAGGTTTCTTTGTAATAAGTTTGAAAGTACCTGGTTTATGGACAGAACATAATCTGCCTTCTTCATCAGTGACAATGGTTACTGTTCCAGTTGCTAAATCTTCTTCAGCAGTTGGATCAACGAGTACTGTGCTCGTGAAAGCAAAACACATGCAGACATGTTTGTACATATTCCTTCATTAACATTATTGCAAAATACACGTAACATTAATTTTTACTGTAGTCTTACAAAATACTTGCAGCTGGATTTAGTGCCCAGGCTTACCTGTTTTCTTAGCAAAGTGCACCAATTTTAAAAAAATTAAAAAGTCAAAAAATATGGGAAATTCTACATAATCAAGTGCATATGTCTATTGAAAATGCAGCTTTATGCCTAAAGTTTCCTAGATTTGTGACATCCGTGTCTTGCAGGAAAATGCCACTAAACTGCCATTTGAAGGATGTAGTCACTTATTTTGTAGTTACACGAAGACTGATACGGGGTGTAGGCTGCACTAATCTCCACCTTAATGCAAAACTCATTTCCAATGGTAAGTTCACCAAAGTAGTTCTCAGTTTCTTGTCAGAGAACTCTAATATCACTCAGCCTGGGAATGGTTAAAAAAATGGATTTACAGGGTGTTTGACTGTCCTTAAGGCATCCAAAATAAACTTTTCATACATCACATGATGCATATCTTTGAGAGATTAAATACTCTTATTTTTGAGCCATTTAAGTTAAAAATAGAGCAAAATCAATGGGAAAAAAAAGAGGATCTAACTATAAGCCAACTTTGTTCAACAAATAAAACTTGAACTTAAAGATGAACTTTAAAACCTCACCAATATTTCAGATTGCCATTTAATAGCAGTAGTAACAAAAACATAAGTCTGCTTTTTGAAGTCTAACCGCATGCACTGTGACACATCAGCCCTTTGTGTGATGCAGGGAGATGTGAAGAGTTCAATGCATCATTTATTTTTTATGTACAAGTCAACACCCCAGGAGCCAGCTGTGGAGCTGCACCACATTCTGCACCAGTGCTCCTCACCCATGGCCGCACTATCCAGTAACCTACAAGTTTTATTTATTTAAGGAGGGCTTTTATACAGAATAAAAATGCCTCTGAATGCCAGAGTATGTAAAGCATTTTATTTAGAGGGCTGTGTCAACAGCTGTAGAACTAATAAATGAGAATTAAACAAACCACACAACATAGGCACACACCCCCTCGATATTTAGTTTTAGGAGCTCAAGGGAGACTTAAGTAGCTTGTTTGATGCAACAGTTGATTTTGGTGAAGGAAACAAAGCCCGAGACATGCATGGAAAGCTTTCTTACAAAGGCAATTTTTTCATCTGTTTGTAAGTAAGTGTGATTTGTGTGTCTGTCTGGTATGTTACCCAACCTCTCTCACTTTCAGTCTACATCAAACTTCAGACCCATCAGAACTGGTATTAAAGCAATTAACACAGGCACTCTAAAGTACTGATAAAATGGTGTTCTGGTTCATTTTGGTAATCACTTGGTCAACATTTGAGTTAATTGCTTTCCCTACCCTCTCTCTTATTTGAGTGAAAGGCCCTGCTAATCACTTCTGTGAATACAGATTAATGTGCCATAAATCACGGATATCTCTAAATAGAGCTAAATCTTACATAGTGCAGTGAGCACTGTCCTTGTCATTTTCTGCTTTCAAATGGATGCCACCAGAAATGACTGCATTTCTTCTAAACAGCAGCAGAAAATATCCTTAACATACTTGGACTAATGAAGAGCCAGTAAACAATTTCAGGTGAGGAGTAAATTATCAGATGTGATTATTTTGAAATCTCATAATTTGATTATTTTCCTATATGAACAATGACTTAAGAATGCTGGTCATACTTCATCTTGGGTAATTATATTTTCAGTTATCCAGAGGTTATGTTCTAACTGGACTGTTACTTCTTACTTGCTCTGTTGACTACATCATTAGTATAAGCTGTTCAAAAACTACCATCTTTTATATCAGTTATTTACATAGGCTTCTAAAACACTAATTGCATTGGTAACATTGTTTCATTTCACGGATACTACAAAAACCTAAAACAATACCTACCCCGTACTTTTAAGCATATCTTTTAGGTTGGGGAACAGTTCTGCTTCAAGCAACAGGAAGAAGCTATATATGTTTTGTTCTGCATACTCATTCATATCACAGAACTACAGGTCAGTTCAACAAGAGAGGCCTGGATTTAAGATGAGTTAAACAGCACTGCCTGAGGCTGCACACTCATCACTAGAAGTGCAGAAGCATCACTGGTAGCATCCTCTGTCTTTCACTCAAACTTTTACAGACACAGTTGTTTCCGTAAGTACAGAACAGTTATGAACTTACTCATCAAATACACCAAATGATGAGGCAACTGGATGCTTTCTGATAATCAAAGGAGTCTTCTGTTTTAAATTCACTTCTGATAAACCAGTTTCTTCATTTATAATAACCGATGGCAGTTGTACTGAAGAGATAAAAAAATTACAGTGGTCTAATATTAAACATTGCTAGGTTTAGCAGGCCTAAAGATGTCCAAGACTACTGTAATATTTAAGCTGTTCTTTTAACCCACCAAAAATCAATCAGAGTTTTGGCTATGTTAATGGTACTCTTGATTTCAAGCAAAGTATTTAGCTTAGGACTACCTGTTCAAGGAAGTATTTGATTTTTCTCCTCAAAGTAACAGAAGCATTTCTCCTTGCACAGAAGCATTTTCTACTTCCAAAATGCCATGCAATTAAAATAGTTTGGAGTCATATTTAACAAAAAGTACTTTTTCCCCAAAAAGCCTACTGGACATATAAAAACCAGGAATATAGTCTCTCCAGGTGTTACACACCTATGGCACCCATACCATCATTTCCACTTTGTGTTTTAGTAATTTAGCATTCAAATGACAGGAAACAAACAGTCCTAACAGACTGTGAACCAGTTACCTATTAATCATGGTTCAAAACTAACGCATTTCTCCAAGCAACAATAATTAGAACATGTTTCTTGCTCTAAGGAAGACTTACCATTTTTTAATGCTGCTAACAAAGCAAAGACACTGGCATCCAAAAGGTTTCCATCATAGTCCAGACATATGATATCACAGTATAACACCCAAGCAAGCTATCATAAAAGGTTTGCACATGTGAGATATCACAGCAGCTAAGCAAATGGTGCAATATGCAAGAAAATTCTGGCCACATTGAATACAGATACTGATTTCTATCTTGCAATTTTTACACTTCAGATGTAAACCAAGCTATGAAGACTGAAAAGCAAAACAACAGAACAACCTATAACCCCAGATACCTTCTTTTACATCTCATTACTGAGATCTTGTTAGTATCCCCCTCTTCACTTCTATATACAACTTACCTTGCCATTTGCAATAGACAGATCTTCTTTCACTATCATCTGCGAACCAAAATAAGATCAGAGAATAAGCCAGGAAACAGAAAACTGTGTTGCAGAGTTGTCTGTGTTTTAAATGCACTAAGATGGTTCTTACTTTTCAATCACATCTGCAATGAACTGGCTCGCTGCTTGAGCCTCTTCACCAGGTGGTCCGGAGCGAAACCTCTCTGAACAGAGGGATGGCAGTTCTACATTTGGTACTAGGTATCAAAAAAGCAGGCAACTGGATATCAAAAACAGATATGACAACAGTCACTCTTACCATTTTATGTACTTCAAATGCAAGGCAAGACCAAAAATTTTTCAATCAAGCCTCCCTACTCCCTTCAAAACTAAAGTTATGCATGAGTTGATATTAAAGAACTTGTAGTACTCTGTATATAGAAAATATATATTTCATGGAAAAACATATAATCCTAACTACCATATTCTATTTATAATCCTGCTATGACTATCACAACCCCACACAAACTCTTCTTGAAGTGTTAGGCACTCTTCAGTAGATCAGGAAACAGCAATATTTTCATCCCACTGCCTGACTTGACTGGTATGCTATCTGTTTTTCATCATCCATTAAAAACTGAGGCTTTAAACTTGAAGCAAAACATGCATCATCATGGCTGGGCTTCGCGAACGAAGATTTGGGAAGGCTCTATCCACATTTGTTACAGGCACATTGGTGACTTATGAGGCCAATACAAGACAGACATAACCGATTGCAAAAGGCACAGCAGAAAGACTCTTTAGATGGTATATTTTGCAGAACACGGTTCTTTCTGCGTTGCCTTTTCTCCTCGAGAGTGATCCCGCGTGTGTTCTCAAAGGAGACAGCTGCATTATAGATGGTGTGTCTCCAGGCCTCCCGATTGGAGGCCAGAGTAGACCAGTTATGGTGATCAATATGGCCAAGGCTGAGATGTTGTTTCAGGGAGTCCTTGTATCTTTTCTAAAAACATGCATAAACATTTGGGAAAAAACCCCAAGCTCACTGAAAACAACATACTTTGGAGATGCCTTGCAAAAAAGGGATTTGGTCTAACCTCTCAGTTCCACAGAACTATTTTATTTCCAAAGAAACTCCAAACAGGAGCAGGGAGGTACTCCCGCAACTTTTACAGTTTTCTGAGAAATAAACAGGGTTTATTTTTTTAAGAGTCACATTTTTTGCCTACTGGGACTTCAAAACTGGAGTTAACGTGCCTTTGCACAACCTTTCATGTCACAATCTTTTATAGATTAACTACTTTCCCCCTCTTAATATACACACTTGCCCCTGCTGCAGATCTGTTTCCAACCTGGCCTGGAATCAGCCATAAAAGAGAACTTTTACATGGAAAACTCACAAGCAGAGCAGAGGGAATTCTAAAATTTTTGAAGTACCACTGCCTAGATGTCAATTTGAAAATATTTATTTTACCAAATCCATTCTCTTAAGAAATCTTCACAACACAATCTGTCATTACAGCGTCTTAGTTGAAGCAGTACAAGACGTGAGCAAGATCCATGCTGAAACACTCACCAATATATCCCTTATTAGCAGAATCTGCTGCAGGTGCAGCAAGTTCCTGAAGAAACAAAAAAGACGAGATTTTCCAGCTATTCTATACATAAATAGCCATTTTCTTACCAGTTATCATTACAATGATATTTACAAAAGCCATTTTTAATCAGTCCTTGTCTGTAAATTTTCTATGGAAAAATTCAGTACAGGGGCATGCAGTGACTTGGCTCATAGTTCATGGAGGGCCAGCAGTAAAGTTGAGGCTACAAAGCATGTAACAGTTCAGCCATCTAATCCCCAGTGCACTTATTGATCCATATTCAGTAACTTCTCAATTATATATCTTTTATCTAGAAATAACAAAGAGTTTGTATTTGTATACATCTTTCCCCCTACATGATGGGCACCATAAAAATACATGTCCTCAGACTATACAGGTAGGATTAGGTAATTAAATTCCTATATTAAGTTTCATGTCTGAAAGTAACTCAGGTAAAAAACTGTAATTGTGTCTGACTGGCACATTATTGTAACTCTGTGGGCGATTCATTCTAAGCACCAATGCACAGATTAAGCTAACAGATAAATTAAAATAAAAGCCAACCATACTGCTTTCACTCCACAAATCAACGTGGTACTTCCTAACTTCACCAGGGCAGAACCATCTGCAGTTGTAATTGAACCTGAAGAGAAAAAGTACTGTTCAATAAAATCTATTTTTCATTCAAAGAGCATTATTAACATCTGCCTTCACAAACTGTTAACGTCCCATCATTTTATACTAAACAGAGGCTAAGCAACGTCTCAAATCCAGAGTGGGACAATCACATAGAATGGCTGAGGCTGAGACAGCTGGACCTCATCTGGTCCAACACCCCTACTGAAGGAGGGCCACCTAGAGCTGGTTGCCCAGAACTGCACCCAGATGGCTTTTGATTATCTCCAAGGAAGGAAACTCCACAACTTCTCTGGCCAACCTGTGCCAGCGCTCCATCCCTCCATCAAGGCCAGGTTGGATGAGGCTCTGAGTAATCTGCTCTAGTGGAAGGTGTTCTGCCAACGGCAGGGAGGTTGGAATCGGATGATCTTTGAAGATCCCCTCTGACCCAAACCATTTTACTATTCTAAAACTAGTAGTTATAAATGGGAAGCCACTGAATTCCCTACAGTTTTAACTTCCTTGTAATTCTATCAGCTGTGTCAGGGGAGGTTTAGGGTGGATATCAGGAAAAGGTTCTTCACCCAGTGGGTGGATGGGTGCCGGAAGAGGCTCCCCCGGGGAAGTGGTCACAGCATCAAGCCTGAGAGAGTCCAAGAAGATTTGGACAACGCTCTCAGATGTGAGACGTCACATGTGGTGTGACTTGGGTGTCCTGCGCAGGTCCAGGACTTGGACTCGGTGGTCCTTGTGGATCCAACTCGGGATACTCTGTAATTCTGTGACACCAGGTAGCTCCGGGCCACACCGAGTTCCGCGCTTTGTCGGGCACTTTCCCGGCAAGAAAGGGGGTGCCCTGCTCGCTCAGCAGCCCCCCGCACACGTCGGGGCCCCGCAGCCCCCTCAGCACCGACCCCATCCCGGGGGCCGCGCCGAGCCCGCTCCCCTCGCGCGCGCAGTAGCACAGGGGGGGCCGGCGGCGCCGCGGGACCCAGGCGGCTCTACCGCGACCCCCGGAGCGGGGCGGGCGGGACCGCGGCCACCACACCCGGCACTTACTTGAAGGTGGCGGCCATGGCGGCACCGCCGCCGCCCCCCATGTGTCGCCCCCTGGCGGCGGGCCCGCCCGGCGGGCTCTGCGGGAGGACCGGCCTTGGCGGCGGCGCTCGGGGCGGCGGCGCTGGCGGGGCCCGGCCGCGGGGGGGCGCCGGCGGCTCCCGGCGATGGAGCCGCTTCCGCCTCGCGCGCCGCCGGGGGCGATGGGGACGGCGCTGCCGCCGTCCTCGTCCCTGCCCCTGCCTCTGCCCCTGCCCGCGGCCGCCGCGGCCCTTGCCGCCCTCTTCCTCGTCCTGGTGAGAGCCGCGCAGCGCGGTCACGGCGGGCCCGGGGGACTCCGTGGCGGGGGCGATTCGCCGAGCTGCCCCTTGCCCGCACCCGCGGTGCGGAGCGGGAGCGCTGCCCGGCGGTCCTGGCCCTCCCGGGGTGTCCCGGGGGGCTGCGGCGGGCCCAGGCAGGGCTGGCCCAGGCTGGGGGCAGCTCGGGTGGCACCGGGAGCCGTCCGGGCAGCAGCCGGCGGGGCTTGCGCTGGTGCGGGGGTTGGTGCGGGCAAGGCGCCCGGGGACCTGCGGAGGGGATAAAGACCCCTTGGGAAGTGTCCTGGTAACGCCCGTTCGCGGTAACCATCTGGGAGGTCGCTGCGTCTCTGCGTGGCTGAAATACCCGGCAAGTTGCAGAAGTTGGACACTCTGGAAGGCGGAATTCTGCTACCTGTTCGCAGTGCCGCGTATTCCTCCTGCCCGGGGAGGTGGTGGAGTCACCGTCTCTAGTGTGAATTTAAATTCCCCCTTTTTTAAGCCTAGATAAGACCTGAGGTCTTGCTACCCTCTTAAAATGCGATCTTTAATTACTAAGCAAGAAAGTCCTGGCTCTGGCTCTTGATGTATTCCAGAGCCCCCACTTAATTTTACAGAGTGTCACAACATGGAACGGAAGGCTATGCAGACAACTTCCCTGATTACCAAAGCTTGTCATTCAAATCAGCGCTCTGCCTAACTTGTCCTTACTCTTCTCTTTATAGATTTGCAGCAATACATTTGTATTTCAGTGAGCTCTTAACCTTTACTATTTCTTCCTACCCTTGCATTTGCAGGGGTGACCCAGGGAGCTGGAAGTATTCTATGTTACTCACTGTCCTGCATGACCCAGCTCTTCAAAGACACATCAAAACAAAGTATTCTCAAAGACTTTGAAAAGGAAATAAAAACAAATAGAGAAAATCTACATGGTAATTTTGCAACATTCTTACCAGCATCAATGTCTGCATAGTTAATGCTTTCAAAAATACAGATTTCAATTTTTTAAAAACATATTTTTATATCTCTGCATAAAAGCCTTACCTTTCTGCATCCTTTGACTCATACTTCCTAAGAGACTTTTTCAAGAGGCAACGTGATATAAAAGAGTTGTCTTTGAAAAACACATGCAGAAAAAGCAAGTTACTGAAAAAGGTTCAGTTTACACAAGTTTTCTTCACTGTTACCATTTTTTTATCACAAACAATAGCAGCGCAGTATCCCTTGATACACATTTAGCTTTTATCCTTACAAGCTATTTTTTTAACTCATATTTTAAATATCTATTGGAAAAACAGTAAAAATCTCTTTTTACTCTCAAGTATGTCTGCAGATGTGCAGTATGTTCTCTGTGACAACTCTAGCAGTTAATGTCTCGAACAGGTTTCAGCAACACTGCAGCATTATTACAAGGCAGGGTAACTCTTAAATGAGTAATAACACAGCTTTAATCAATTTTAACCTATATAAAGTTCTCAGAGGTCACTCTTGTGAAGTGTAAGCAGTCAAACGTAGAAGATGGCTCCAGCTCATTCTGCAGAATTGTGTTCAGTTATACACTGATTTACAACTCTCATAGTTTCTGTGCAGACCAGTCCACCACTGCCAATGTCCAGGTTAGGTTTTCACCATGGGAAATTAAATTATATCAATATATATAAGCACAAGCAACATTTCCAAGCCATTGAATAGTCCCAGACAGTATTTAACTTGAATTCTCTGCTAATGTTTAAGGCTCTGGAGACCTATCCATAATTATTGATGTACCTATTGTCCAAGTGTTCCTTGAGTTCACAGTCATAATGATGACTGTAAACTAAAAATAGTTGAAATGAAGAGACAGGCGAAGACAGAAAGCTGCAATGAAGCTTCTGTATCTCAGTGTTTATTACTTAAAATAACATTTAACCTTATTTATGATACATGTATGTTTCTTAGGGCTGTAGTGGCATGTCTGTAATAGCTCAAGGGGCGTGAATTAAAGTAGTGTTCCAACATTGTTGAAGGCTGCACCCTGCCAGTTGAACAATAAGTTATCTACCTCTGTGGGATAGGGATTTAGAGGTTAAGAATCGGATGCTCCTACGACCTGCTTGTTGCATTAGCCAACGGCACATAGGGGAGTCTTGAGCACACAAGCCCTCAGGGGAGAAGCTATAAACAAACTTTAGTTTCTTACTGGGAAAAGAAATGGCATTTTCATATGACCAAGCTTAAGTAACAGTTGCGAGATCATAGCTGAGAGGGGTGTGCTAGAAAAGAAAGAGCTAACTAGCCTCCATTTTCCTGGGTATTTTTTAATCTACTTTTCTTTATACTGTTCATCGAGCTGTTCAATTCCCAAGCTGCATAATGAGGTATTTCCCTGATTTAAGAAAGAATTTTTCCAGTCCCGCTTGCTTAAGCGCAGATGAGGTTAGAACAACCTTTACTGTTTTTTCATCAAACAGTAAAATTTTGGTCTTGCAAAAATGTTTTCTGATGTTATGTCTAATTTTACTATTCTTGACACTTTATTTTCTCAATAAAAAGCTCCATAAGAACAGTAACAGAAGAAAAAAACCAGTTTTCTGCATGAGTACTGCAATGGGACTACAGGAAGGACCAATTATTCTCATAAAGGAGACAGCAAGCAATTTTATTCCTGTATTTGCTAGAAAGCTAGAAAAAAAAAAGAGTGGTTGACTGCACAATATTAGTTTTAAGCAACTGCTGCATTCATTATTCATGTTCTCATACATTGCCTCAACTTCCGTGATACCTCCGAAATTCTTACACCCACACTCATATCTGCATATAGTGACCCCATGGCAGCAGAAATCTGGACCTTTTCAGTTCACTTATAAAATGAATTAATTACTGAAAAAGTCTGTTTACCAAAATGAATAAATACAGCTAGACAACTTAATAGACTCATTCATTTTTAAGTATTAAACAAAGTATAAAGAATGCTGTGATTTTTCAGATCCTACTGCATAGTGGAGATGTTACTTGCCATTTTGTCTACATGTATGATATTTGTCTTTCACATCCTTGCCAGTGCCTTCCTAACCTTCGTGATAACTAAGGAAGAGCTAACTTCATATCCTGGATATTACCTTCCCCAGAAAATAGAAGAGAATCATCGTAAAATCCCAAATACAGAATCACTAAGGTACCCTGGAAATTAGTTACACTTGAACAGTCATTCAAAGGAGAGAGAATGTGGTTGCATCTTATGCTGAGAAGATGAAGGAAGGAAGAAAAATTCAGTGTAAGGCCCACTCCATTCCCTGAAACCATAGATGGTCTTCCTCCCATACAGAAAGGTTTTGGAGAAAGTAGCAAGGGAAAATTTTCTTGCTGGGTACCCCCTCCACCTTCATGAAGGAATTTCAGGAGTGGCTTGAACAGACCTGCATGGTTACAGGAATTTTAGTTTCACATGTAATGATTTCTCTGGGTTGTAAAATAATGAAGCATTCTTTCTATTCCTGGCTACTCCTGATTTACTCAACATTATACAGTACATCAGTCTAGCCCTAATCTGGAAGAAGGGTATGATAATTTATTTACCCTCAAGAAACCCCTACTGAATTTTCCAGTGGTAGGACAAAAGATTTTAGTATGCTAGAATAGAAGCTCCTTGCTATGAACAGGAAACATTCACAGGGGATATGACATAATTCTGTTGATTACCTGGGACCTCAATTACTCTGTCTGCAGGCTGCACTAGAAATCCTGGGGTTTAGCTTTAGTTTCTCTCTTCCTGAGATGTTCCCTATTAGTGTAAGCACTAGGCATATAGTTCTGTAGGTGTGCAGTCAACACCAAGCAATTACGTTCCCTGCTTTAAAGAAGCTTTATTATGCACAGTGCTTACTTAGGGGAGAATACCATCTTTGCTACTAAGTACAAATGTAATGTATGATATCACTGTACAAGTTTGACCAATGTAGAAGAGCTTTTATTTTCCCATCAAGCAAAATGTTTGGGAAACCATTTGCAGAATGGTCATTTGCAAAGCCTCTACTGCACTCACTTCAGATATTTAAGAACTAGGAGACTTCATCAGGAACTGCTATTCTCAGCTGTGTCTAGATAATAATTTACAAGGATCTTAAAAGTTTCTTAGGAAACTCACATTCCTACCTCTGCAAAAGGTTCATTCTTTCCATGTTTCTCCTGCAAACTTGTCAACATTTTGCTCCCAATTTAATCTGCATTTATATCCACTCAGGGTTGAATCCCATACAGTCCTTCTAGATGGGACTGTGTCTTTTAGAGATAAATTCTTCATTCTCAAAGAAGATGATAGATCAAAGTGAGCAATGCACTTAAGATGGCTGTTGGCTTTGTAGTCAGTATCACACTAAAGAACTTCAAAATAAATGGGCTCACATTTCCCAGGGATTGCTTAACACAGCAAAAATGTTTATGGGAAACTGGATGTAAAATTAGTGGCAAACATTATCTTTCATATCAAAGAGATAATTAAAAAAAAAAAAAATATGTAGTTGTCATTTTGCTAAGATGCAAACCTGACATCAAAATGTTATGTGGCAACACATAAGCGCCACTAAGTCTGAAGGAAGAGACCTTCAAGTAGAAGAAAGGTTTGCAGCATTAAGTAGTTTCACACAGAAAACTCACCAAATGCTGGATTAGAGCCAGAACACAGTGGTGCTACCAGTATTTTGTTTTCTATTGTGAGGCATTATACATGCCCACAATATTTCAAATATGGCTGTCATGTAGTAGATTGATTACATTAGTGCAAGGCTTCTCAAGTGTTATGATACCGTGGCTTTCTCAACATCAGGGAACAGTCACTCTTACAGATCTACTACATTTTTACCAGAAAATACAAGGATAATGACTTGAAATAGGAATGCCCATAGTAAGGCACATGATTAATAGCCACTGAGTAATAAAATCATTGCTGACAAAATATGTCCAATGACAAGTTTAAATCTTTTCCAATGAAAAGTTTAAATATCCTCTTGGGAAAGGAGTCCTCTGTCTTGTTTCCAGTGCTGCAGAGACATTTTATTCAATGGCTTCTTAGGCAAGTGTTGTGAAGTGCTTTCCAGCACATGGACAAGAACCAAGACTTTCCATTCTGAGACACATTCCTCTGTTAAAAAGGAGGGTGTGTACCTCTCCACTTAGTCTTCGTCCTGAAGAGTCTTGCACTCCTTGCTGAACAGTGGCCCAATTTCAAATAGAGTTCAGTTGCTTCATGCTATACCTTTCCATAGCTCAGTGGCTATTTCAGAAAGGAGGTTCCACAGATTAAATTCCTTTAAGCTAAGCAGGACTCAGAACCCCTCTGCTCCATTTTGCTGTAATGATTATGTTGTGATAACATAGTCCCTACTTCCTACCTTCCTCAGAAGATGGTCTGGTGTTCACTCTCCCACAAAGAGGTGCAAGTCCCTTGTGAAGCCCTGAGTCAACTGCCTCTTGAGGCACATATTTCAAGTGTATTGTGTGTTTTCTACGAGCGGACTCCAAATGGCTTTGCTCCTACACATATTAAAAGAAACGCAGAAATTGCCATGCCCAGGCATAAGGAGCTCCCATACCATGAAGAAATAGCCTACATAAGGTTCCCGTACTGCTGTAAGGTGGTGTCTTGATCTTGTTCGTCATCCTCATCTCTTCCTTCATGTCACTACTGCACAACCACACCTACATCAGCGCATTGCCCAGTTGTCCTTTTGAAGCATGCTTCATTTTCAGCTGGACCTTTTACCCATCAAAGTCCTCAGATGGAGACTCAATTACAAATACCTGTGCAAGAGAAGAGACAAGAAGCCACAGACAAGGGAAGGTGGATTGGTCCCTACTGAGACCAGTCCTGCATTCATCAGCTGGAGACCACCATGGAGCCACACACACAGTGCACTCACCCTCTTGTGGGAGCATCCAGCCTTGTCCATCACAAAGAGCCCGACCACCTGCCTTCCACTGTGAGAATCACCCCACTGCGACCAAGTATCATCTTTTACACTCAACAACTTTCAACAGAGGGACTAAGGCCGGCAGGGAAAATGCTATAACTGTCATCAAAACTTTACCAAAAAGGAATTGTACAGTCATGTTGTGGAAATGAGATCTATTCCCCAACTCTTCATTAAGACATAATTAATTGGGATGTTTTGTAGCATAATACTAAAAGCAATAGAATGATTACATCTACTAGAGCAAACTAGATTGGGAATATCATGGGAAAATACTGAACAAGGAAATTTTTCTGAAATACGCTCAGTCCATGCTCTCATTTCTTCATCCCTCGAATTATGTGGTAGTTGTTTATAGTACTCAGTCTTAAGTCTTGTCTTCGCAAGATGCACAGTAAAGTACCCCAGTAAGTGGCACCAGCCCGCTGGAAGTACCAAATTACCTTAAAGAAACCTGAAGGGAGAAGTTGCTTCAGCCAAGAAGAATATGAGCCAGGTGATGGACTCCAGCTTTTGGAGTGGCTGCCCCCACCAGCAGAGTCCTGACACTGTCCATCTCATAGTCAGCCAGAACACAGCCCCATAATCCAAGGCAAAGATTCAACCTGACATCTAGAGATGGGGCAAGGAGGAAGGGGGGGATAACACCACCACATCCTGGCCCCTACCCTCTCTATTTTCATGTTCTTAACATCCTTGACTTGATACCATCCCTCTTGTAGGGGCTATGAAGGGAAAATAGCATCTACCTTTTCTTCTAAAGCTTTTGGTCATTCTTGCTCATATGATTTGGCCTCCTGGATGGGATACAAGAGAGTAAAACAAGCACTAAGTGCCTGTCCCTCATCTTCCCTGTCCACCTCTCTTCCCAGCAAACCTCCACAAGGCTGCACCCGCCCCAATACTGGTTATTCACAGTACAAGCAACCCAGACAAGAATTACTTCTGGCTTCTCATTGCTTTCAGTAGAGCTCTGCAATTGCTGTCACTCTTATTACTGGCCCAAAGCACACAGCTGCTGCTGCTGCTGCCCTTCCCACATCAGTATCTCTGAGACCTTATTTCCGTGAACTGCAGCCTCTCAACCTGCATTGTCCATCACCTGGAGGCTGCCAGGCAAGACAGCAAATACCTCACACAAGCTGATGAAAAAAGTCTTCATCAGTTTTATCTAAAGCCACAGAGGAAAAGGGCAGCCCCATCCAAATGCCAATTGAAATACATAGCACAGCAGGCCCTTGCCCCATTTACGCCTGGAAGTGCCACCCTTCCAGGCAACCCTGTACTTCCCAGAACTTCTCCACAAAACCTTCAGAAAGCAAGTAAACCAAAAATCACTCATCCCCAGAAAACTTTTGAAAATATACCAGCTAGGACATAAATTCCTGCCGATTCTTTAACACCTGCAACCCAGTTTTCCTACACAGCTGGGCTGCTGGTGGATCATTAGAGGCCCTAGATGCCCTAATGCAGGCACACATCAGTACAGGCTGATGTACAAACTGAATTAGACATACAGCCCTTGATGCAGCAAAGGGTAATAGAGCAGTGGTGGTGCAGTATACATTAAATATAAGGCATCTTTGCATGGGACCTGATATTTTACACAATGTTGCAATTTGTTATCCACACCAAGGCAGAGATGCCCAGACCACATCATATTTTCTCTCTCCCAAGAGTTTAAGAACTCTGGCTTCCCTAAATGTGAATGGAGAGTTTGAGAAAACAGAAGCTTTTGATATGTGTGAGGAGATGCAATGCATTTAGGCAGAATATTTCAATTAGGTGAATTACAACAATCCAGCATGCTCTTTTCATTTTTAGCATACTGAGTCATTTCCACTTGGACTCTGCAAACATGGACCCTTGCACTGAGTGTTTAAATCCTTCCTGCCCTCTCCTCCCTCCTTCCCTTTCCCCTCCTTTACTCCCTTAATCGACCCTCCCTGCCCCCTTAATCCTACCCTCCCTCCCTCTTTTCATCCTGTAATCCTACCCTCCCTCCCTTAATCCCTTAATCTCTCCCTCTCTTAATCTCTCCCTCCCTCACCCCTTCCCTCCTCCCATCCTCCCTCCCTCCCTCTCTCCCTCCCTTCCCACCTCTTTCCCTCCTTTCCTTAATCCCACCCTCCCCCCTCCTTCCCTCTTTCATCCTTCCCTCTCTCCTCCCTCTCCCTAATCTTCCCCCACTCTCCCTTCCTTCCACCCTGAGATGGCACTTGAGTGCATGTAGTGGTTCTTACGGTTACATAGTTTGCTAATCTGCAGGGCAAAGGGAATAATATGGAACTAATTTATCCATTTTGTTTACATGAAGGATGCCAAGGGAATGAATTTTTCTGAGAACAGCAATTGTGTTGTGTCTTCAAGGTAATGTGTTTCATGAGTAAGGAGACAGCCTTGGAATAAATAGGCATACACTGCAGCTAATCAGATGAGGGCCCAAGAGCAGACTACAAATTCGTGTTATCTGATGGTATAGAAACACAGATTTTTAAAAATTTCTTTTATGAAATATTCAAGTACTAAGAAATAAAGATATGCTCTTTCCTTTAAACACTATGAAGTAATATAAAATTTTAGTTAAATTATTTAGAATACTATTATTTTTACTATGTGTCCTAGTTGGAACAGCTGGGACCAATTCATCACTGGATGGGTGTAGCCCAGGACGGTGTATTCTATGGCCTTCCATGCCATTTCCCAGAAACTGTTGTCAGTAGAGGCCTGCGAGATAGGAAGATGTTCCTGTCCTCATACCCTTTTATGGAATTCCCCGCTCTGAGGGAAGGACTGAACATTCCTGCCTGAACTGGAGAATATATAAACTTGGAGTTTTGGAACCTTTTTACCACTCGTGGAATCCAGAGGAAGACTGCAGACCACCGCTTTCAACCAGACTGAGACCACCACCCTCAACTGGACTGCAATCACCACTTTTGACCAGACTGCAACAGCTCTCCCACCATCAGGTTTTTCCCCTCTCCCTTTACTTTGGACTCAGGGGGGGCCCAAGGAACACCACTTTGTTCATGCCCCAGGGTGCTGGGTTATACATTTGGGTTTTGTGGGTTAAGACCAATTGTTTGTCTGTATAATCGTACTTATTGTATTATTTTATTAAATTGTTATTCTGATTTATAATCTCTCTTTTGAGTTGAGTTCATTTCCCCTGCTGGTTAACTTTTAAACCAGCACACTATGTTATGTTATGTTTTCCCGTACTTTTCCAATCTTTAAGTTTCACCATATGAAAGTATGGTAGTAAAGTATCCTGACTGGTATGTATCATAATTTATGTTTGAAAACAGTTGCATTTCTGCTAATTTATGAATCGTGTTAAGAAAATGCAACAAAAAATGCTTCCTTATATTATGAAATTACATTTGCTTTTTGAACATGTTGTGAGAATTTTAGCAACTTTTACATTGCAAGGTTAGACATAATTTAGTGTTTTAATTATGTCACTATTTCTTCTGGCAATACGATATTAAAATTTTAAATAACCATGGGGTTTGCCTAAATAAACAGCCACGAGGAATTTAAAAAAGATTCATCATTATCACCTTCATTTTGCAAAGTCAAATTATTATTCAGCACAGCAGGAGGAGTACAGCAGGAAAACTTCTGAAAGCTCTCCCTAAAAGAATGATAAACATTCACCATGCCTTGCAGTCACTTAATCAATTACAGTGCTAGTAATATTGCCAAATGTATTTTGAAAATAGAGAAATAAGCACCTCAGAAAGACATGGCAGTAAGTGTAGTGTTTAAACATAGTCAGATTTTCTTTCCAAATGAAAACCATACCTCAACCTGATAAATGTGAAAATTATAATGCCTTTTTTTCTTTTTTTAAGTTTTAGATCAGCCTGCTTGAAGATAACACCTGCAAAATAGCACTGCACATAAGAAGCACCCAATACAGCCCTCAGAATAATTGGAAGGTATACATCAATATTTGCTTATCTAGTTCTTTTGTGTACATTTTTTGACATGACAAGAACACTAGATAAGGACTGAGAGTTATCGTGTATGCTAAATTATATGAAAATGTTAGATTGTAGCAGTAAGTTTATACGAATTAAATCAAAAAGAAAAATGTCAAATACATGACAAATCTGACTCATTCAACCATTACAGTGCAACCCTGAGATCTTTCTGGATTTTCTTATTATATGGTTAGATTATATATAATTTATTAACTTGCTGTGTGTCAAATCTGGGGTTTTTTTGCTAAGCATCATAATGAAATGGATGGTATGAAATGACTTACAGTGATGGAAGAAAAAAAAAACAGTTGAAACATAAAAAGCTTTGGAACTCTTAACCATGCTGCTTGACACCTGCAGCTCCTCCTCAGCAGGGAGCCTCTCGGAGATGTAAGGATCTTCTTCAATAATTCTCATTTTATTGTGATGAAAGAGTCAGGTTGAACAGATATCACCTCTGTATATCTAATGGACTTGGCAGAAGTTTACTTTACATTTGGTGATAGAAGATTGTCTCCCCACACTGGGGTTAGAACATCTGAAGGACAGATAACTTACTCCCCTCAAAGACTGTCATCTCTTGTCTTCGCTACTATTATGGATAAGGAGTAGCAATCTATACATCTCTAAGGGAAACCTTGCTTAAGTTAATTTGTTGAAATAATCTCTTTAAATGGTTTTGGATATTAAAAAGTATCCCTATGCAATATTCACTATAGCTACATCTGTACTGATAAATTAAATGAACCCAAGGGGCACAATCTCCCCTCACAGACACATCCCTGGCAGATCAGAATGGTTTCCAGACACATTTCTCAGGTTTAATCTCTAAAGTCAGAAGATCAAACTCCCAAACATTTGGTCTTGAGTCCTTTCAGCCTCATGGCATTCCTGGGACTCAAAGGCATAACTTCCTCAGTTTAAAATGTCTGAAATAACACAACATATTTCTTCCCTCCCTCCCTGCCTTCCTACTTCCTCTCCGTTTGCTCATCTGCCTGTCTTTCTATCCATCCATTTTTCTTTCCATCTTTCTTGCTCTCCATCTGTTTTTCTTTCAATCTTTCTTGTCTTTTTTTCTTTTTTCATCTGACTGCTTGTTACTCTTTCTTCCCTTCTTACTCTTCCCTTCTGTTCTTCCTTACCTTCTTTCTGCACAGCACTATTGCTTGAGGGGCAAAGAATATATTTAATATTCTGGGGCAGTTTCTTAATGTAAGTCCATTTCTTTTCTTAATGACTGTTCTTAATGTATTTCTAGGAAATAATGGATAATATTGTAGAGGAGAAAGAGCCTACACCAGGTTGAACTTCTTTCTGCTTATTTTAGAGAATAATTTTTGGTGTGAAATGTCTTCGAAGTCGTCTTCTGGAGATTCATTTTGTCTGACAGCAGACTAGCATGGATGCAGTATGGATGCTGGATTGACATCAACACGAAAGACAATTGCAAACAAGTAATTTGATGTTGAATATATATCTAAAGTTATCACCCCCTAGTTCCCTGTAAGCAGATATGATATTATTAACTGGGGCACACCATTACTTTGCAATTCTAGTTTTTCTTTTATGGAATCTGGAACATGGAAAAGAGAAATGGATAATGAAGATGTGGAGTCAGGACACTATCAGGTAGTGTCAACACTTATTCCCAGCCACCTGAAGCCCTGTGTTTGTTTGGTATTTTTTTGTGCCTCAAGGTGAACTTAATGCACAAAACAGATTTACAAAAACTGTTTACAAAAACTTTACTACTAAACATTAAGCTACTGTCTGAGGTAAGTATTTGAGATTTCAGCAGACATTAAGAGACCCAAAAGGAAGGGTAAACATCATTCCAACATTGTTCCAGCATTGCTGGCTGAGCTGCTAGGTTTTCTGAATTATTTGATTGGTCTTTCAACATATCCCTCAGGTAAACTAGGGCTCAAGCAGCTCAACAGGAAAGATAGCATAATAAATTCACCCTGGATCATTAAAACTTTGAAACACTGTATTCTTTTACCCACTCTTGGGCAGGGATTAGAAACCGTATTATCACTTCTGCAGATGCCAAGCACTGAAGCTACTATTCTATTCATACCTTGAAGCTTTCTATCCCTAAGGATACCTTCTTTACAGAAACTATTGATTTTTGCCATCTAATGTACAGTCACTCACAAAGTATTCTAGTTTTCTGTTTGCCTGCATGACTTTTATGGAGGGAACCATTGATTTTTACCTTTTTTTTTTTTTTTTTGGTAATAGGTTTTTAAAATAGTTCTTTTAAAACTTACTGTTCTTCTTCTGTGTCAGTAGAAATAAGAAAAGTGAAGAATATAAAAAGCAACTACATTGTCATATATAAAAAACAACTACCTTTTCATTGAATCTATGATGCATGTGGGATGCATATATACAGAGTTTAAAGGACTGTTATGCACCTTAGCTGCCATTCTCTGGAAAACAGCCTATTTTATATGGAAAATGTTCACTGTAATGGAAATTGAAGTTAATAATTTGCAAGCATTCTTTTTATTTTGTTATCAGTGACATTCATGTGTGTTTTTGTTAGAGCTCAAAACTATAAGCTTGTGTTCAGTTTTAAATCAGGAAAATCTCAACTTTTTTTTTTCTTTGTTTGTTTTTTTTTGTTTTGTTTTCGTTAAGTTTTTGTTTGTTTGTTTCCTTTTCCACTCTCTAGAATGTCTCTTTAGAACCAATGACAGCACATTTATTCTATTGACTTTATTCTCTCTTCACATAGAATAGCATTAGCGTCTTCTGAAGAAAGCTTACATATACACGCTATTTTGTTTACTAATCTCAATATGAGCTTTTATGTAATGATTTATTAGCTACTTTCTTACATATGCATGCACAAGTTTGCATGTATGATTTAGTCCATACTAACTACTTTTGTTGATATATACATAAATGATAATTTAGCAATATTTTTAGTTATGTGTGAAGAGAAAGGAAGAAAAGTCAAATGTTTCATATTTCAGAATCCAACCCCAAAGATTAATTACTTAGGCATTACATGACACTTATTTCTAAGAGTTTTTAAAAGCAAAAATGGAGGATTTTTATTTTATATATGTATTCATAGTATTAAAAATTGTTATTTGTATATTGTAAATCTATCCCTGTCTAGTCCAAAATACAATATTAAACTTTAAAGGAGTAAAATGTCACCATGAAGTAATTTTATTTTTTTAGAGGAGTGCAATTTTAGTCAGACTATTTAGATGAATTATTGTGCTATTCCAGCAGATTAATGGAATTTACATTACAAGGCACTGACTCCTTTTCTAATACAACATTATTATGTAGCACAGATAATTCACATAAAGATGTCATAAACAATGTTCTTAGTTGGAATTGAATTCCTGATTCTGTTAATGGCAACGAGAGTTTTGACATTATTTGCAGAAACGTAAGAGCTTTATTTGGGGATTTAGCCCACTTCTTGTTTATCCATTAGCTATGAATATGATCTGAAAATTCTTTTGGAGACATGCATATGACTCAGGTAGTTTTCAAGTTTGTTTACAGAAGCTGGTAAATGTTTATACCTTCTCTTCATGTTACATTTTCAACTTTAACTGCAAAAAGGGAACTTACCTAGTCCCACAAAATTGAAGTTTTTTTCATACTTATCTGACACTTTTACGTGAGAATAGAAATACAAGAAAAGATTAGAAAATCCATGAAATGTCCTCCAAAAGTTGGGTGGAATACAGTAGGACTAATTTAAGTACAGACCTTTAGAAAAAGTTAAAAAAGTTTTAAAAAATGCTTAACTTGCCAATATAGTCAAAGGGAAGAAGCACGTGTCTTTGATGGCGTTTAATGTAAGAACTTACCTTCCTATTTAATTCTTACTCATTTTAATTTTGTATCCTAGGTTAGACAGTTAGGGTCAAGTGAAATGGATTTTTATAACTGAAATGGAATTAATTGAATTACTAACGTTTGACTACATGAGGCACTGGATCAAGACTTAAATGCTTCAACTGGACCCCTCAGTTCAGGTGCTGGAGAAGGTCCAGAGAAGAGCAACGAGGCTGATGAAGGGACTGGAGCACAAGTCCATGAGGAAAAGCTGAGGGAGCTGGAGTTATTCAGCCTGGAGAAGAGGAGGCTCAGGGGAGACCTCATCACTCTCTTACAACTCCCTGAAAGGAGGTTGTAGCCAGGTGGGGGTTGGTCTCTTCTCCCAGCAACTATCAGTAAGACAAGAGGGCATGGTCTCTAAGCTGTGCCAGGGAAGGTTTAGGTTAGGTATTACAAAGAAATTTTTTACAGAGAGGGTAATCAGGCATTGGAATGGGCTGCCCAGGGAAGTGGTAGATTCTCTGTCCCTGGAGGTTTTTAAGAGGAGACTGGATATGACACTTAGTGCCATGGTCTAGTAACCACGGTGGTAGTGGATCAAGGGTTGGACTTGATGATCTCAGAGGTTCTTTCCAACCTGGCTGATTCTATGATTTGTGTGATGCCATAGTGGAAGCCGTATAGTAAGTGCTAGTTTCCTCCTGGGAGAAACAATTGGATTGGTATGCATATGCAGTATTTTCTTTTAATATATTTTTTTTTTTACTCATAATTCATCAAAGTTAAAATAGACATTTGTCCTGTTTGTTTTAATGAAATTTGTGTACAGATTTGAATCTACTAAAGATGTTTCTGTGATTTTGACTGTTTGTCACTACTTTTCAAAAGTCTTCAAAATAGGTTAATATTATCCTAGAAAGGTATGAGTGAAAGAAAAGCCATGAGCTCTGGCAATTCAGCTGGAAAAGACAGCGACCTGCACATTTTATAAAAGGGGGCTAAAGCTATTTCCAAAAGCTCTTCAGTGAAATAAGCACTATAGGGAATTCTTCAAACCATTAAGACAACAGTAATTTAACACAATTTGGAATAGAAAGACTCTACTGATCAAACTGTTGTCTATCTAGACTTATTTTAAATTGTAGCCTGTATGTACCATAGCCGCCTTAAAGATCCAGAGGCATAACACATTGGGAGTTATTGGGTAAATGCACATAGAAACAAATGCAGAAATAGCTACACTTAACAAAGAAGTTGAAAAATTAGAAAAGCATATTAATGAAGGAAAAGAGAAAAATAAGTCAGAGCTCTGCCTCTCTTTTATATTATGCTTCAAAAGGGCACAATTTCACCTTCTGTTAGGTATCTTTTTAAAAGTGTTGTGTCTGTGCTGTAGGATAATTAATCTCTATTTTCACTAATGAGAACTGTTGAGGTCATTTGGCCCAAAATGTTCCCTGAACTGCAGAAAGACTTTCTTTTCATAGAATATGTTGAATGTCCATGAAAATAAACAGATTGTTATGTGATGAAGAACAATTTACCTGATTACCTAGGCTAGATTAAAGACTCCTATGCCATTCACCTGTCATGAACATAGATGAACAGACAGATGGATAAAACAGTAAGTCTTCTTACTTGCAGTGAACTTTTCATAAAAGCAGAGTTCCATTCTGAATTTTAGGACATGCTCATGCAAATTACTCTATGATCAGGGAATAATCACAAAAAATGCTTAAAAATTTGCTCAACTTTCAGTATAAGAATACTTATTATTTACTGGAAAAAGAAGGAGATATCTTAAATGATGAAAGGGCCATAGTAAAACAGACCTAATGGCTAAGTTTTAAAAATATTTATTTAATCTTTAAAAGTAAATTGTATTTGATTATAAAATTACTATCTACCTTTCACTATGAGAAAGTTATGTCACTTTGTTTTGCTTTCTACTAGGTAAGTCTACTAACTTTTTTTCAATTAAAAAGGAAAGGGCATATCTCACAACAGTTCATCAATTCGTGTATCAGTCAATAACAGCTAAAAAAATAAAGAATTAGATACGCGACATTTTTTTTCTTAATTTGCCCCTTGTGTATTCATTTTATTTTAACAGAGCTTTTATCATGTCTCTGATTCTTCATGACTTCTTGGACTTCCCCTTCCTTGTGGGCTTAAATGTTAAGTTCTCTTCACACTGCACTCTGTATGCTTTAGTACTTTATTTTCTCAATATTTTGCAGAAAATTCCCACTTTGCACAATATCCTGCTTTTCTGACTGCAAAATATGTGTGCACAGGCAAGAGCTTCTTTCCAGCAGACATTCTCTGTGAAGGTGGATCTGGGGCATCCTGAATGGAAATACAGGGTAATATTTTTAGTATGATTTATCTTCCAAGCAAAAAACCAAGCAAAAAACCTGAAAATTAGTGTGTTCTTATTTTAATGTGATCTTTTCATTATGTTGCATTCCTGAAATCAAATATATTGGAGTTTTTAGGCTGGTTGTGGAATGGGGACTGCCTTGTAAGATCTTGTAGATTTATCATTGTACTGTTTTTTCCCCATTCAGAGCATTTTCTAGTTTTTCCATGACTGAGGATTCACTGATGCTCCTTCATGGCATGGATGATGAATATTTTGTTCAAGACCTTATTGTACCCAAGGGACATAAGAATCTGTTAATAAAATGCCCAGAGAAATGCTCACTTGAGGCAGTTTAAGGAGGCAGAAGGGATGTTGCAATGACTTCAGCACAAACTACTTAACCTGCTTAACCTAGAGGTTTCTTCAGTATCCTCATTTCTGATTATATTTTAATCTGTTGTTGAATTTTCTGCTTGCCAGGGTAGAACAGGTTTTTTCTCTCAAAGGTAGAGAAATGGTAACAGTAACAGATTCACAGAAAAGAAACGTAGCATGTAACACAATCATTAAATCAATGCCCAGTTCTTTAATTCAGCTTTGGGTATAGGTCTGAGGATCTTGCTCTAGACTGCTGATAGATCAGTCCTTTTTTCTGGACCTACAGATGAAGATTCCAAAAGTGATGCTTTTAAATACTTTAGTTATATGGAAACCAGTTTGCACATAAGCATTCCAAGTACTTTTCCTTAGAGTTGGTTTCCTTATGGCTGGTGCTCTCAGCACTGGGGGTTGTACAAGAGGGCTGAAGGGTCCTGAGGAGGTCACCTTGGACATCACTCTCCAAGAAAGGTTGCCATACAGTGTCACCCTGGCAAATTTTATGTTTAGTCTTTGTGACAGCGGTGAAAGATAATCGGGTCTTCATGTGCATTCTTGCACGGACACATATGCTCTCCCTTTCCACCATCTTTAGCGGGTGATGTCATTTTTCCTAAGATAAGAACACCAGGTTGGTAATGCAGAAAGAATTCTCTAGTCATGGTCTTGTTTACTGGCTGCTTCTCTTTGAAGAAGTCCTGGTGTATTACCAAAACTTTGGAAGTTTCTTGCATATCCTCGAAAAGGAATTTATTTAGACACTGTTTAAAGGTTAGTTGCCTACTTCAAACCTACAAATGCAAGGACTGTTTAATCAGGGACAGGAATTTTTAGTAGTTCTTTTTTCCTATTCAGAGACAGAACTCTTTTTTTTTTTTTTTTTGCTAAATACATTTAGATGAGTGAAACCCCATCTTTGCCTAAGTAATTTTTCCTCTTGACTGTTGAAAAAAATTCAAAGTTAATATACTCTGAGTGCTCTCCAGGTATAATTGAATTTTCTATTATCTTCTAAAGGTGAATCAT